TTATCTCTCATGATCAGTGCCTGATGGATCTTCCATGACTGTAAGAGGTGTGCAGTATCCTGCTCTGCTTCTCCACAAGGACACATTGGAGATGAAACAACTTTCATGACTTTGTATAGATGTTGATTGAGTCTGTTGTGTCCTGTCGGAAGATGGTAGTTTGGTCAGATCTTGTTGGTGGTAACTGTCTTGTTGCTGATGGGTGTTGAACAGAGATTTGATGATAGTCTTCATCTCTGTGTAGCAGACTGGATTTTCTTCCTGTTATTGTTCAGCACCATTCTTTGCTAATTTATCGGCTTGTTCATTACCCCAAACTCCACAGTGAGAAGGGATCCACTGTAGTACTGTTGTCAGACTAAAGCTTGTTCAAGTTGAAGTAGCTTGTCGTTGCACAGAGAGCTGGCATCAGTCAGGAATAAGTTACTTGAGTTGTGTTATCAACTTAATTTGTTTTTGATTGAGTGTGCAGCATGAATAAGGGCTTCTTCTTCAGCTTTGTAGTTGCTTCTGATTGTTGAACTCCGTTAAGGGGTATACTTCATGTACACTGTATATACCAGCCCCTCCTTTTGTTGTGGCATTTGCTTACCCATGAGTCTGAAGGGTACTCGTCTTCAAGCATACTCATTGTAATTACACATGATCTGATATGTTTTAGTCAGATAAATTATTAAAATAATATTTAAAAACAAAATTTTGTATGTTGATGTATTAATGTACATGGTGTATGATCTGACAAGTTTTACTTATATATATGAAATTAAAATGATATTGAGAAACGAAAGCATGTCATATCAATTAGATATATTTAATGTAAACTATGTACAGACCAACCATTGTATAGTATTTGTATGTCAGACAACACTGAAACTCGAAATAAATTTAAATTTAGGTCTATTCAATTTCTAACTGTATCAGTGTATGTAAACTCAAGTCAAGACTGAGTGACAGTAACTTAATTTAAAAGTTTAATTATTCAGAAACAAGTAAATAGTACCGAAATTTATACAAATATACATCATCTAATGTTTAAAATATATACAGAAAACAAAGAGAACAGAAATGCTTTACACGATAGGTAAACAACCGTTAATGCAATATCCTTCTAGCGAGTTTTGTCTGTTTTGTTTATGTTTTCGAGGCGAGGTGTCCGCCAAATTGGATTTACCGTTATACTACCCCTGGGGATTTCAACAGCATTTTTCATACCAAGAACGGTTTTGACAGATTGGCATATATATATATTTATTTTAAGGGATAATTACTGAACATTTGTATATAATTTTGATGGATGTACTCGATTTTATAAGGAAATTGTCACTTCTGCAATATATCACAATCTCCGCTCCTTACGTTTCCGCCATGATATTTGTAATATAGACTGCAGTAAAGTGACGAGGGATATCGAAGATAAAATTCCTACCATGTATCCATTTCTATAACATGGACAAGCACGATAAAATCACCGTTCTTCCGATGGTATAAAAGTGTGACGAAATTTTGGCACGGCGCGAAAATTCAATTGGAGTTATCTCCCCTTAGCTTGGGCATAGCTATTGAAGGCGAGGTTGATGATCTTGTTGAAGCATACATATACACATCTGGTAAAGAAGCCCTTATAGAGAAACACGCACCTCTGCAAACTAAGGTGATAACTGTGAGACCAAATGCCCTGTGGTATAATAAAAATCTCTGCGCTGAAAAACAGAAACGTAGACAAGCAGAGAGACAGTGGCGACGGACCAATTTAACCGTTCACCAAATTAACTGATTTATAGAGAACAATGTCGGCTTAAGTTGGTTCACTACTCTTTCAGTCAAAGAAGGCTTATTATTCGGAAAGAATCGAAGAATGCGGCAAGGATAATAGACAGCTTTTTAGACTCATCAAAAACCTAATGGGACAGAAAGGTGAAATTATCCTACCAAGCTGTAATTCTGAAAAAGACTTAGCAAGCAAGTTCAGTGATTCCTTTCTGAATAAAATCAGCTCAATCAGGAAAAATACTGCCGAAGTGAACACCTCTGCTGACATTGACATCTCTGTCATGACTGCTGACATTGCATTTGCTTGGGAACCATTGGCAAATCTCTCACCAACAACCCAGGACGAGTTGCGCAACATTATCATGACCTAGCTCGCAATTAAAGTCCTGTGAGCTTGATCCACTGCCTACAGACCTATTAAAGCAAAGTCTTGAAACACTGCTTCCTTTGATTACCTTAATCATGAACAAATCATTGGCTGAGTCAAAGGTTCCATTATGTTTCAAGAAGGCACATGTCAGACCATTGATAAAGAAGCCTGGAATGGACAAGGAGGAGTCGAAAAACTACCGCCCAGTTTCAAATCTTCCTTTTCTGTCTAAAATCTTGGAGAATTAATTAGGTTGTATCACGACGTTTAGAGGTTCATCTCCATGCAAACATGCAGTCTCCATGACAACATGCAATCGGCCTACCGCATGGGACACTCTACTGAGACGGCCCTCATACGTGTACATAATGATATAGCTTCTGCATTAGATAAATATAACAAGTGCAGATCTAGAGCGGTGCTTGTCATGCTGGAATTGTCAGCTGCATTTAACGTCATCGACCATGGCATACTTTATAAACGTCTAGAATACTCTTATGGAGTGACTGATACCGCACTATGCTGGATACAGTCTTACCAGGAGTGAACGACGACAGTGTGTTGCCATCGGATCTTCCACCTCACATGACAAAATACTAGATTTCGGGGTTCCTCAAGGGTCGTTGTTAGGACAGTACTCCAAATCGATTGGAGAGATTTGTTGTCGCCATAGCCTTCGCTATCATTGCTATGCCGATGACACACAAATTTACATGGTCATCAAACTACAGGACAGTTGGAATACATATACCGTCTCAGAAAGTCTGGAAGATTGTCTGACAGATATCAGTATCTGGATGAACGCCAACATGCTATGCTTAAGCTTAATCAGGAAAAGACGGAACTAATCGTCTTTTCCCCAAAGTGTCAGCAAACAATGGCTCTCCAGCTCAAGGTCGGTGCCAGAGCTATNCAAATATACATCATTTAATGTTTAAAATATATACAGAAAACAAAGAGAACAGATACCTTTACACGATAGGTAAACAACCGTTAATGCAATATCCTTCTAGCGAGTTTTGTCTGGTACAGGTGGGATTTGTTTACGTTTTCGAGGCGAGGTGTCCGCCATATTGGATTTACCGTTATACTACCCCTTGGGATTTCAACAGCATTTTTCATACCAAGAACGGTTTTGACAGATTGGCATATATATATATTTATTTTAAGGGATAATTACTGAACATTTGTATATAATTTTGATGGATGTACTCGATTTTATAAGGAAATTGTCACTTCTGCAATATATCACAATCTCCGCTCCTTACGTTTCCGCCATGATATTTGTAATATAGACTGCAGTAAAGTGACGAGGGATATCGAAGATAAAATTCCTACCATGTATCCATTTCTATAACATGGACAAGCACGATAAAATCACCGTTCTTCCGATGGTATAAAAGTGTGACGAAATTTTGGCACGGCGCGAAAATTCAATTGGAGTTATCTCCCCTTAGCTTGGGCATAGCTATTGAAGGCGAGGTTGATGATCTTGTTGAAGCATACATATACACATCTGGTAAAGAAGCCCTTATAGAGAAACACGCACCTCTGCAAACTAAGGTGATAACTGTGAGACCAAATGCCCTGTGGTATAATAAAAATCTCTGCGCTGAAAAACAGAAACGTAGACAAGCAGAGAGACAGTGGCGACGGACCAATTTAACCGTTCACCAAATTAACTGATTTATAGAGAACAATGTCGGCTTAAGTTGGTTCACTACTCTTTCAGTCAAAGAAGGCTTATTATTCGGAAAGAATCGAAGAATGCGGCAAGGATAATAGACAGCTTTTTAGACTCATCAACAACCTAATGGGACAGAAAGGTGAAATTATCCTACCAAGCTGTAATTCTGAAAAAGACTTAGCAAGCAAGTTCAGTGATTCCTTTCTGAATAAAATCAGCTCAATCAGGAAAAATACTGCCGAAGTGAACACCTCTGCTGACATTGACATCTCTGTCATGACTGCTGACATTGCATTTGCTGGGGAACCATTGGCAAAGCTCTCACCAACAACCCAGGACGAGTTGCGCAACATTATCATGACCTAGCTCGCAATTAAAGTCCTGTGAGCTTGATCCACTGCCTACAGACCTATTAAAGCAAAGTCTTGAAACACTGCTTCCTTTGATTACCTTAATCATGAACAAATCATTGGCTGAGTCAAAGGTTCCATTATGTTTCAAGAAGGCACATGTCAGACCATTGATAAAGAAGCCTGGAATGGACAAGGAGGAGTCGAAAAACTACCGCTCAGTTTCAAATCTGCCTTTTCTGTCTAAGATCTTGGAGAATTAATTAGGTTGTATCACGACGTTTAGAGGTTCATCTCCATGCAAACATGCAGTCTCCATGACAACATGCAATCGGCCTACCGCATGGGACACTCTACTGAGACGGCCCTCATACGTGTACATAATGATATAGCTTCTGCATTAGATAAATATAACAAGTGCAGATCTAGAGCGGTGCTTGTCATGCTGGAATTGTCAGCTGCATTTAACGTCATCGACCATGGCATACTTTATAAACGTCTAGAATACTCTTATGGAGTGACTGATACCGCACTATGCTGGATACAGTCTTACCAGGAGTGAACGACGACAGTGTGTTGCCATCGGATCTTCCACCTCACATGACAAAATACTAGATTTCGGGGTTCCTCAAGGGTCAGTGTTGAGTACTCCAAACCGATTGGAGAGATTTGTTGTCGCCATAGCCTTCGCTATCATTGCTATGCCGATGACACACAAATTTACATGGTCATCAAACTACAGGACAGTTGGAATACATATACCGTCTCAGAAAGTCTGGAAGATTGTCTGACAGATATCAGTATCTGGATGAACGCCAACATGCTATGCTTAAGCTTAATCAGGAAAAGACGGAACTAATCGTCTTTTCCCCAAAGTGTCAGCAAACAATGGCTCTCCAGCTCAAGGTCGGTGCCAGAGCTATTGAGACTGTTCCAGCTATTAACAACCTAGGTGTANGCTATATAAATGTTGTATATTATTATTATTATTATTATTATTATATTTATTAAACGTCAAACTCTGTGATGTTACATGCTTTGACGGATATCATATACATGTACAAAGCGTACTTGTAATGTAAGGGGCAAAGTAAGTTAGATCCTTGGTCTGAATGGGATATATGACAATAAATTATCTAATTTTAATTTTCTATCATACTTTAGAAAAAGGTATACCTATGTGTATGTACCCCAATACAAATGATTGATAAAATCATTGTAATCTTTATACATTGTACAGTACATGTATATGAAATTGAGGGAACCGAAGCAAGTTTCTTTTCAATTTGGTTAAAAAGGAAGAAATTTTGTTGACCAGGAATTAACTCATCAATGAAATTGTAACAGGAGCGAAAAACTGAACGGCTAGACCAGATTTTGAACCTGGGATCCTCTGAACTGTATAGACAGATCTAGATGTTCTACCAATTGAGCTACTTGCAGGTTAGCTGCGATAACGTAGCTTTAATTCTGACTACGAGAGATTTTAGGAGGCCGGGTATTAATATTAGTACTACCTGCAGGTACTCTACATTCCTTCCCGCTTTTTCTCAGTCTTCACCCCCAATCAGAGACAAAGACACAACTACATTATTGTACTTTCCAATAATTTTGTAATACAGGAACAGAAAAATGATGGCCAGACCGTGATTCGAACCCCTGATCCTCCGAAATTCACATTCTATCATTTATTTTTGTACCCATTCCTAATTTAAAAAAAATATCTAAATAAAAAAAAATGAAAACATTGGGGAGGGAGTGTTTGAGTGATAGACGAAACGATTTTGGAAAATGTAGCAGAATCTCTGCAGATGGTAAAATGCTATATTATTCTCTGCAAAAATGAAAACCCTCAAATAATCTCATCTTTGAACATTTATGAAATGAGACTTTTTAATCAATTTGTGTGGTTCAAATATTTGTGTGCTTTAAACATAAAGAAGAAGAGCTGTTCTTGAGTCCAGGTTTCTGTTTAGCAGCTAGGTTAAAACTAAAATATTATAATCCAGTTATGTCAATATGGAAACTTAGATTGAGAAGTTGAGTCAGTATTTTCTTCCATTTATTTGCTCTGTCTTCAGTGGCTATACTACTAGTTATCCTCTTCACTTATTCCTCCTGAATTGTGTGGTTTGTTGGATAGCTCAGCGGAAATAACATGCTGTCAGACACCGGAGAATACAAATTGATAGTGGTGGTCCGAACAGATTTAAAGATGGGAAAAGGGAAGATAGCTGCTCAGGTAAGTATGTTTCCCATGTATAATTGATGTACAACCTTAAAACTTGGTTCACCTTACATGTATCTGTATATATATACGTACAGTAGTTATTGTATTTAGTGAACTGTTTTTGTCCCATCATGGGAAAAGAACCTTATATACTTATAAACAGCATCCTCGATACTCCCAAGGGTTATGCTAACTTACGCTCTATGTACCCTAGGATAGATATGTCACATCAAAATTGAAGGCTCAGTGGGCGCCACATTGTTGATTAGACAAGAAGACTATAGTTCAAATCCTTTGATCAAAAGAATCCTGCGGTCGGCGTAACAGTAAAATTGGCTGGCTTTGAAGTCAGGCATCGCTCTTCTGCAATTTTCAAAGGACAAGTATCAGCCTAGCAATCGGTCAGGGTTTGTTAACCCGAAACCAATCAGACAGCTATTTTTTTGCCTTCAATTTTAATTTGCTATGACATATTCCAGGGGTGCAGAGAACATAAGTGAATGTGAACCCTTGACTGGCTTGAGTATTGAGGATGTATAAAAAATTATACTCGGAAATAACAGATCAGTTGCATATGAAACAATTCATAATTGGCAAAGGTAAGGGGGAAGCAGCCCAAGAGAACAGGGTTTACACTGAGCATTATAGATAACAATAATGAATGAAAAAAGACAATTTTATACTTTAACAGGTTGCCCACGCTGCAGTTCAAGCCTACAACTCCTGTGCCAAGAACCAGCCGGATATGTTAAAGGAGTGGAAATATTCTGGTCAGCCCAAAGTCGTCGTGAAAATAGACAGTGAAACATCACTGTAAGTTAATAAGGACTTGATGCCACGACAACTTGGACAATTCATGTAACATCAATGCATGTTTAAAATTGGGACATACTTGTATATCTATAGCTGTGGGAACCATAGTTGTAGGTCTGATCAATTATGATTTATTTTGAAATTTTCGATATTTTATTTTGAAATTTTAGATTATCAGACCATCTGATACGTAGAACTCTAAAATTTAAAAACAAAACATCAAAACTTTCAAAATAAAATAAAATTGATTAGACCTTGAGCTATGCATGGTTCCCACATGCAGCTAACCTATATCATCCTCAGGTGATAAAAGATCATACATTATGTTATTGCATTTACTTCTCAAAGGAGGTGTACATTTTTTGTTGATAATTATATGTCCTGTAGGCCAGCTGGTGACCTTCTTTTCAAGATCAAAGGTCGAATAAGTTCAAAATTTTCAGCAACAGCTTAATATCAGATATCTAACGTAAAAATAGTTTAAGATACATGAATATTATAATGAATCTTAAGATCAAATAACGGCCTCCTTCTCAGTAAAAAGTTTTTTGTGCCATATTTTCCAATCATGACCATAATGATATTTTTGTATCAGCATTGTACCAGCATAACCCGCATGATGTGTACTTTGTACCAATTATTTTTGTGATCTCCACAGTGTTTGATATGACAAGTTACAATGTATGTGTGTCTCTGACAGGTTGGCTATTGCCTCAAAGGCAAAAACACTAGGGCTGAATGCAAGTGTGATCCGAGACGCAGGCAGGACACAGATACCTGGTGGATCCGTCACAGTCTGTGGCGTGGGTCCAGGTAAGGCTAAAAAATCCTCTCTCCTTTCTTTTATGGTTATACGTCAATGTTAAAAGTTTTCTATCACCTGTTAAGTCATATACTTGCAATGTTAAACTTAAACTTTATTTATTTTACAACAATTATGAAACAAGTTATGTCAACTTACATAAACCACTCTTGCTGGCCCAGATGTTAGCGTGTGGGGGTCTTAATGTGGGAGGAAACGGGAGTACCCGGAGAAAACCCACATCGTCGGGCAGGTAACCGCATATCTCTTCACGTCCTATCAGGGAATCAAACCCAACTGCCTTGGTGAAAGGCAAGTGTGCTATCCACTGCGCCACCTGACCACTTGCAATGTTGATTTGTTCATTTAGGGTTTAATGGTTCATGGACAAGATCAGATACATTATTTAGGGTCATAACGTGTTAAAACAGTAATGCTAAAAAACCAGCTGATGAAATGGTCAGGATATATCCTACCAATTTACCCATTGCAAAATTCAAGAGTTTTGCTCCGGATACAAGTATCTTCCTCACACCCTTGAAACATGTCACTACAAAAGCAAATGCATGTGGTTAGCTATTTGGTTGGTTTCAGGTACAAAAATCTGACCATATGCTAGACCGATTCCAAGTTAATAATTCACCACTATGATTAATTAAAGGTCACTTTTCTAGATTTTGTGACCTTTTGAATAAAATTGGTTTTAATTTTTACCTTATTGATTTGAAAAGAAAACTGGGAAATATCATTATCTAATTGAGTTGATTTAATGAATTCTTTTTCAACTTACCAGTATCATCCGTTTCAGGGATATACAGGCCTTTTTATGGCTGAATGTGGCTGAATTCCTTATTCCAATTTTGGCTTATATTCCCCTATTTCAGTTAAAAATTCCCCTACAAAAATGAGAAGATGTCATCCATGCCCCCCTCTCGCACTCTCCCCTGGCTCCTGCCTGCAACCCTCGCTGGACAGGTCATGTACCTACAGCGCATATTTTCCCATATTTCAAAAAAGGATACTAACTTTCTATCCCTGCATTAATCCCTGCTCTTATATAAAACAGGTTGCCCAAGGATGGTGTATTTGTTGTGTATTTCAGGGCCAAACGATTTGGTGAGCTCCGTGACTGGACATCTGAAGCTGTTATGATGATGGCTGTCAGGTAGAAAATCAAGAGACCTTATGAATTCAAGTTATATCATGAGTGATATTAACAAAATTGTTCTATTCATTATTACTATTGAACTATAACCATCCATGAGATCAATTGTTTTTCACATTCCGGGTATGTGAAGCCACTGTAGTGTGTTTTAATCACATTCTATACAACTGAGCCTCAATAATCCATCCCAACTTCATTTCCAAAGGATAATCCAGCCACCGTCATTTCCAAAGGATAATCCAGCCACCTTCATTTCCAAAGGATAATCAAGCCACCGTCATTCCCAGATGATAATCTTGAAACAGTCATTCCCAAAAGATAATCCGGCTTTCTTTGTTCCCAGTAAATAATCCATGAAACAAGCGATCATCTTTCCCAGTGAATAATCCAGCTGAATTTACCATCGTTTCCAGTAGAAAATACAAGCACCTTTGTTAAATAATCCAGCAACCTTAATTCCGAAAAAAGTTCCAGCGGCTGGAATTTGCTGCAGGCCTAAGGTGGGTTACTGATTCAAGAAATAGTGTGGAAAAGGGTCAATCTCTCCAACAAAACACTAGCCTTATAGTGGGACAACTGAATAGTTGTGGCTGGATTAACAAGGCTCAACTGTATACATGTGTCATGAAAGTAGGAGAAGACTCCTGAATTTTTGGACCGGGCATTCTGCTTTATTGGCAAGACTGACCTCAAAATGTCTCCATGGCAACGACCAGGAGCACCATGGAGATAACATCCTCTTGCTGGATTTTTTGTTTTTGTTTGTGAAATTGTGATTGGTCGAGTGATCAGGGATAAACATGTAGAAGTGTTGAGAGAAAAGTTTGTTTGGATATACAGTATGCATGATATGGAATGCGAGTATTATTACTAAAAGGATCAGATTGGTTGTTGCACGATTAAGACATATGTTGTTGTGTGAATGCCTTAAGCTTAGAGAATGATTGATTGGTTAGCCAGGAGATATGAAATATGGCACTTTTTGACACCTTGGTATTTCAGAATTCTCCCTGCCAATTCTTTGAGAATTTCATTTCAAACTTTTTTTTAAATATTATTTTAGTTCTGAATTTTGTTACTCTTTAATATTGTACAATACAGACTATAAATTGTGTTCTGTTGTTTGAAAATGTTTTATTTTTTTTCACTTTTATTGAAATTTATTTCAATTATGTCTCACTGGGAATTTCAATGTACCAGGTTAATTGAAAATATTAGAGATTGTTCGTTTTACTTTATACAACTTATAATGACCCCTGAGAATATACTGGGCGGTCATCTGTGATAATATATACTAGGGCCCTTCTCTTATCATCTTTGGTTAAATAAATTCTTCAGAGCCTTGGCTTGGATTACCAAAAATTAAATGTGTTATGTATGAACATATTGTTGAGTTGATGTTTTGAATGATAAGAGTACATAAGCAGTAAATAAATGCTGTTCTGTCACCTTTATTAACGGTAATTTGTTTTCATTTGTTTTTCAATCGAAGTTGGGGGTAGATATGTACAGTACTTGCTTCGTCGGTGTGTCCATCTGTGCATGCTGACATGTTTCTGAAGCCTACACTGGAAAATTTTCACCCAGTCAAATATTTGCCCTTCACTGACCAAATCTTTATTCGCCCTTCACATGAACAAACTTTATAGGGTAAACTGTGTACGAATATTCACTGTCATGTGATCAGTTAGCCCCTTTTCGGTCTTTGCGTATTGCAGAGTTATCTTCTCTTGTGAGCATGTATTGATTGTTACGTCATTTGTTTGTGAGAGTAACGTCATTAATTTTTGAGAAAACAACATAATTTTCTCACACAAACCAATGACCTTACAATCAATGCCTGCTCACAAGAGAAGATAACTCTGCAATACACAAAGACGGAATTGCAGGATGTGAAAAAGGCAAAAATTAAACTGCAGCAAAATATTTTTCGGTATACAGTAACTCAGCCACTATTTCACGAATGTGGCAATGTGTAGCATCCTAAATCATGTAAGGTCACAGCTACCTCAGTTTGACCTTTACTTCAAGTTCTGAAATATTGCTTTCTTGAACATATCTCTGCCACTGTTTCATGAATGGGCATGAAGCTTTGTATATAGATAATCATGGGAGGTGCTGTGTGGCGTCCTTAAATGAGATAACTTCAACCTCCATTTTACCTTTGACCGTTGACCTCAAGTACTAAAATACAGTGTAACATTAATACAGATTTGGCAGCATATTTCAACCACTGTTTCATGATTGGGCTTCAAACTTTGTAGATAATATGCGGGACAAGGTTATCTGTGAAGCCCAAGCTATGACTTAAATCTACCAGGTAGTTTAAGATATCATATGTACAAGTTGTTTATTATATAAGATTCCTTTTATTTCACAAGATGTTTTTTTTTTAGCTCACCTGGTCCAAAGGACCATGGTGAGCTTATGCCATACCGCAGTGTCCGCCGTCCGTCAACTTTTCCTTTAAAACGCTACTAGTCATGAACGACTGAGCAGATTTTGACCAAATTTGGTCAGAAGCATCCTTAGGGGAAAGGGAACAAATAAATGGTGGGTCTGGCCCCCCTGGGGGTTGAGGGGGGGGGGACCTTATAGGGGAAATATAGCAAATTCTTTAAAATCCGTCTTCTTCTGTAGGAATGAAAGGATTTGTTCCATATTTGATCAGAAGCATTCTTGGGTGAAGGGGAACCAATTTTGTATAAACCGTGGGTCTGGCCCTCCTGGGACCTGAGGGGCAGAGCCCAATAGAGGAAATATAGGTAAAACCTTTATAGTCCTTCTTCTACCATAGGGATTAAGGGATATTATCCTAATTTAGTCTGGAGCATCCTTAGGCAAAATGGACCCAATTTCGTATAAACAGTGAGTGTTGCCCCCCTGGGGGCAGAAGGGAGGAGCCCAATAGGGGAAACATAGCAAATTCTTCAAAATCCTTCCTCTGTAGGAATGACAGGATTTTGTCCAAATTTGGTATGAAGCACCCTTGGGTGAAGCGGAAACAATTTTGTATAAATGGTGTGTCTGACCACTCTGGAGGCAGAGAGGCGGGGCCCAATAGGGAAAATAGAGGTAAAACCTTTGAAATCCTTTTTCGACTATTGGGATTATGGGATTTTTTCCTTATTTAGTCGGGAGCATCCTTGGGTCAAGGGGACTAAATTTTGTATAATTGGTGGGTATGACCCCCCCTAGGTTGCAAAGGGGTTCAGGGTTCTGTTTGAAGTTTGTTCTCACTATATCTCAAGTACTGGATTGATCTTTTTGAAATTTCATATGTACTTTCAGCACCTATTCAGGTGAGCGATACAAGCCCTCTGGGCCTCTTGTTTTCATGGAAATTCATGTTAAAGATCGGTATATTACACTGAATGTCATAGAATTTATTGTCAAAATAATATACAAACAAATATACATACATATAAACATAACATACACATTATTTCATAATTTGTTTAAATGGTATCACAGTTCGAAATAAGAAAAAAAAATTGGGGTGGGAGGCGTGGAGAATTCGCTAAATTTACTTATTGCATACACATTCAATACCAAGTGTTACTATCAGTGGCATTGTTTTCCGAAAAATGGAAGTTTGGCACATGGGTTTTCTGGTGCTACTTCAGAGTCTGTTAATCCCTTCAACACTATAGTTATATTCCTATCCTTGGCCATTTCCGTCAAGGTTTCTATCCCTTCCCGGGACACTTTGTGGTCATAAATATCCAAGTGGTCAAGATTAGGACAATTCCTCACTAGGTCTATGATAGCACTTTCTGATATATTTCTTATCCACGAAAGGTTGAGCTCTTTTAAATGTTTGCTGTTATGACACAAAGCCTTCATCGATCGGTCTGTTAAATGCTTACAGGCACACAGGTTTACAGACTCCAAATGGGGAAGTTTCTGAAATGAAAAAAAAAAGATATGTTGAGTTTTAATTCAAAACAAACCAAAACAAATGTTTTAAGACGTGTAAAAGCATTAGCGCTAGACTTTTTAATGCCTGGGTCATAAGCAGGTAGATATTTTAATGATATATCTGATCAGTATCAAATTCCAGCTTCATGCTTGTGTAAATTTTTCTCTCGTAAATGAGTTGTAGTTCAAATGGTAGAGTGATGGGCAAGAAAGGTGGGGTTACTGATTCAATCAATAGTGGAAGCACAGTACTTGTACACAGGTAATCAGATTGTAGTAACGCAAGACATACATTTTATATTTAAACTGAAGGAAGTCCCCTGTAATTTCTTTGCTTGAAACTGATACGGTTAAAATGTGAACACAAACAGTTTAAATATTCCATCGAAATACTTTTTTTTTAATATCTAATGAATTTTACAACTTCAAAATAAATCTAAACTATTTTCTTTTTTAAATAGGTTGACGTGTATTAATTACTCAAATTATAGCAAGACTATGGCTTGATTCGGGTATCCAGGTTGAAACGGTACGTGTGGCGCAGAAATATTCCACGATAAACGAACACATTTGGACCATTCTATAAGCAGAGCTAAAAATCCACAGTTTCGGAGAATAAACAACAATGTATCAAGAATATTATGCCCTTCTTTCATGTGTCCACTGAATTAAATAACGTATCTTAAAAACTACATCTGGCTTTGACATTGTTTTAGAAAGAAATAACGCAAACTAGCAATAGTCAGCATTTTAGTTTTGGTCAGGTACGTCTGAACCCCTCAATCTAAATGTGCCAAATTTTCCTAAGGTCAGCCTCAGTTCAGATCTATGTCTGTCGTTTTCTTTACAGACTCAACCGTTTCAACCGGATACGTGAATGTACCCCATATGTCACCTGTCAAGAATGAAATTGACTATACCTGTCACCAATAATGAAACAGACTATACCTGTCACCAATAATGAAACAGACTATACCTATCAACAAATGTTTACCTATACAAATGAATATCTACCTTAACGAGCTGTTCCATTAGGTTGTCGGTCATGAGGTATCCACAATCCTTGAGGCTGAGGATGCGGAGATGAGGACACGACTTAAAGACATTTTTTAAAGTTCCTTCGGTGAGGTAGATATTATCGAGGTTAAGGTGATGTAGGGTCGGTACAAGCAGCTGACGAAAAGCAGCACTGTTCAATTTCTTCTTCTTTTTTAGTCTGTGAATCATGTTACTGTGGACAAATAGTTCAATATTATACGTCAGAGGTATTAATTATAAATTATAATGATAAAACCTTGATCATATATGAATCCTCATACTCTTCTACTATTATTAATAAAGTAACATTTTTATGTTCATATGTAAATCATTATTATTTCATTATAATATTTTGATCGGTCATAGTTTTAAAACCACTGGCCTCTATGTAAAATCCTGCTATAAACTTGGACCGCTTGTTCAAAGCCATACTTGGCTTATAACAACTCTGTGTGAACATTTAATCTGGCATATTTTCAAAAAGATTCAAATTAAAACCTATAAAATCCATATATTTTTGTAAAACAGACTTTGAACGTGCATGGGCCATAGTTTTACAATTAATTTTATAATACACAAAGGATTCCTTGACTTGATGATTTCAGGGTCTTTTATGTATCCTTAAAACTAATGATAGATCTGCCCCAAAGGCGAAATAATGACCACAAGCTTTTCTGGAGGGAGACTCCTGATTTTGGACCCTAACATTGAATATTTTCAGCCAGTAAATTTGCTGTAAAAAATAATAATATTACAACAACTACGAAACACGTTATCTCAACTTAAATTTAATCACTTTTGTTGGCCTGGATGTTAGTATTAAACTATTCCTTGATTCTAAGATCTATTGATTTCATCTGGAAGAGCAACTCAAAATACACCATTCTGAAGTGTTCTTTTTACCTATGGGGTACGTACACATATTTTAAACTGGCAAAATTGCCTCCATGAAAATTTCAAAAGGATGGCAAGGTACACTGTACATACTTGGAGTACTACCAGGTAGTACCACACATGACATGCAACCACATACTTACTTAATAAGATACTCGTCTGGGAAGTCCTCCAGGTCAAACAACTCGAGATTGTCGGAGACATAGTCCAAACAAGAGCTCAGTAACGTTGTCACCTTCGTACCACTGTGACAAGGGTTCTGCAAGAATCAACAGTTAAAATACAATAACGAGGAAACGTCAAATTGGTGTTTCAAGGGTTTAATGGGTGATGCAGTAAAACCTCATTATACTGCCACCATTTAATTGTCAAAAGAACTTTTGGCGTTAAAACGAGAGAAATGTATAAAGGAATTCTTGAGAAAACGGGATATCAATTTGATATATGTCGCCCGTTATGCAACATATATTTGCAACATATGTCGCCCGATATGTCGCCTGGCAAATCAACAAGGGGAATTTTTTATCAAGGTTTCATTGTATTTATAATATAACTTACAAATATTTAAATTATACTTTACACTTCAAGTTTGAATAATAATAATTTTATTTATTTAAAGTACTATAGTTTCACTTGTTCCTTATTTTACTATATTCAATCCATTAATTACTTACCACCTCAAAATTAACACAGAAGCAAGCTCTGATTAAGGTCTTGCCATTTTCCTCCTTGCATTCAAAACGCTTTGCCCCTCGTGTGGAGAGTGAGGTTTCCACTTCCGATAGGATCTCTTCCTTCTTATCGTGGCGCATCAGATTGAGGTCAACCACCTGGTCGAGATCTACAAATCCTACCAAGTATAGAATACATAACAAGTTAAAGGTATGTGTGTGCATTAATCATATCAGGTATATGACTGATCGTTTTAAAATTGACATATTTTTATAAGTTTGATTGGGTTACAGAAATTGTAGTTTCATGTTAACTAACAAGAAAAAAAAGATGAATAACCATATTCTGTCTTTGCATATTGCAAAGTTATCTTCTCTTGGGAGCAGGTATTGCTTGTTACGTCACTTGTTTGTGAGAGTAACATCATCAATTTTTGAGAAAACAACGTAATTTTCTCACACAGACCAATGACGTAACAATCGATACCTGTTCCCAAGAGAAGATAACTCTGCAATACGCAAGGACGGAATATGTATAGGTGCTGTGCAATTGGGGTTGTTTCCAAAATTATCTTTAACGAATATGGCATATAAGGACATGAGTCATAGGACTTAATTCAAAATCCTCTTGTTGAGACTCTTTTATGTCATTATTCAATTTTAAAAAAATATTTTATAAACCCATCTGGCTGTTACTAAAAGATTTAATATAGACTTTATAGTCTAGCTGGTATGTTACATGGGCTATATTTGTACATTGAACCTCTGCAATGAAGAGAAATTTGACACTATTTTGCCATGGAGTTAGATTAGATTGCTATCTAAAAGTCCAAAGCTGTCGAGGTAAAATTGACACTGAACACAATACACAAATAATATATACATGTATATATGTATGCATATATGTTTAACTTGAATTTTTCCTATGGAAAGAAGCTCCACCTCCTTTATAAAATAAAAATCAAAAATTGCAAGAACACAGGGACCTGAGAATTTGATTTAGCTAACTGTATATAAAATTACACTCCGAACACCTTATAAGTGTTAGGTCCGTGATATAAAAAATTCTCAGGACCCTGTACATGTGTGAACAACAAACTTGTTACCTCCTTCGTGGATGTCCAGTCCTTCCTTCACAGCCCCGTACCTTAGGAGGTAACACAGCCGTTTAGCCAGACGAGAATCATCATCAATTTCTTCTTGTTCGTTCATCTTATTGTTACGACGGGTATTATTTAATGAACTCGACATCCAAATTCTGATATACACTTACCTGCTTACCTAGTTCTAAAATATCATTTGCTAAAATATATAAATTTAACTTATTACAGTTCTAAAAAAACATTTGCTTAAGTGTAACAATTATTATTATTAGTTATCTTCAACATGGAAGTGAAACAGCACTTCTCACACCTCTGATATATATATACATAGAACATACATTTCACAACCAGTACCACATCACCGGAAGTGCGAAAGTCAGATGAAACTATAAATCTATATTGTGCAATAGCTACATTGTAGGCCGATCTTAAAGAAAAGTATCCTGAACTTAAACGTTTAGAGGAAACAAGCTAAGAAGCATCAGTGTTTCACATTGTCATCGTTATTTACAGCGTTCTTCATATGTAAAAATAGGCCTACCTGTGCCTAAACATTATGGTTACTGTTTACAAATGGAAGGAAGTTAAAAAAGCAAGGTCGACAACTCCAGTAGATCTTGTAATGATGATTGCGCAATCATTTGTCAACCTAGGCTATTATGCTCAATCTCTAAAAAATACCCGTTAACAGTCTTCATTTTAATAAATCTGAACTATATAAGCAGTTACAAACTCATTCATTATATGGTGGCATGTGATTAGAAAAAATAATGTTGACACAAGAACAGTGGCGGATCCAGAGGGTTTTTCAAGAAATCCCCAACCTGTCTAGCATTAGCTACACGCAGAGACGTATCTGCGCTACATATGATGGTGATATCTATGATCATCTATGGCACGCCATAGATATCCCAACGATACCGATCTTGTTATGCAATTTGATACTTCAGCGTTAAACTTTAACAAAACCGGAGGAAAACCACCGAACTGCGGACGGTACCTGGCGACTTGTACCCATGGCCAGGGGACAGAAAGTGCTATATCATTTCTCATCATCTTCATATGAATAATTAGATGGTATATATAGATCATGTATGCATCACTTAAAATTTTGATACATACAGTTTGCAGTTTGACCTCCATTCTGAAGGTCAAATCAAGGTCAAAGGTCAAATAACAGCAATAACTATTTGTGCCATGGGTAACATATCAATACTTTGTATGCCCGAGCGTTTTAATTTCTAACAGACCAAAAAAGGTATGCTCTTCAAAAAACCTCCCCCGAAAATGTACCGGTAAACAAACAGGGGGCGGAACTGATTTCATTTGTTAAATGAGGGTACCCGCACTTGATTTTGTATGTATTTGAATATTTGCTAGCGGTTAATAACAAAAATATATTTTTCTCTATAGATCTACTTTAACGAATATGGCATGAGGACATGAGTCATAGGACTTAATTCAAAATTCTCTTGTTGAGACTTTTATATCATTATTCAATTTTAAACAAATATTTTATAAACCAATCTGGCTGTTACTTAAAGATTTAATATAGACTTTATAGTCTAGCTGGTATGTTACATGGGCTATATTAGTACATTGAACCTCTGCAATGAAGAGAAATTTGACACCATATTGCCATGGAGTTAGATTAGATTGCTATCCTGACAAGCTCGAGCTCATGGTCAGAATATTTCGCTTCACTTACTGCGAAGGTGACTTAAAATAGTGTTTGTAATCTGTCAGATGTTGATTTCGTTATTGTGGTCGATAGATTAATGGATTTAATTGATTTAAATAAAGCATCTGGCATAAAGCCTGGCATAAAGCATGACGTCAGCGATGACCGGGAAGGTGATGGCATATATATTCCCGAACAAGAAAACAACACTTTTTACCAAATACTGGATGAAGATATTTTAGAGGAAGAGGCCCGGTATACTAGTCTGGGTTAGGTTTGTTTGTGTTTTACGTCCTATTAACAGCTATGGTCATTTAAATTTACGGACGTGCTAAGTTTTGGTGGTGGAGGAAAGCCGGAGTTCCCGGAGAAAAACCACCAACCTACGGCCAGAACCTGATGTATGCCCCACGGAGGTCTCAAACCCGCGGCCCAGTGGTGCAGGGCTAGTGGTAGCAGAATATCATACGCTAACCACGCGGCCATCGCGCGGCTCCGGACGAGGTAATACATGCGGTAGATGAATTAAAACATAACAAAGCTTGTGGAAATGATAACATTTTAAATGAGTATATCAAGAGTATATTGACTAATTATATAACTTTATGCCGTTATACAATGCTATTTATCAGTATACTAAATACTGGATTAGTCCCATTGGAATAATTAAGCCTATTTATAACAAGAGGCCCATGGGCCTTAACGGTCACCTGATATATTTATACAGCGAGTTGATTTTGTTTTTAACATGAACAGAAATATTATTCAAAGTGACAAAAAACAATAAAACCTCCTTATTCAATATCTAGCATACAGATTTAAGTCTAAAAAGTATTTGAAACTAGCACCTCTGATTCTAAACAAGGAAAATGAAGAAATTTTAGCACACTGACTTCTTTGGGCCCCATGGCACCCTACAGCCCTTGAGGGTAGGGCTGGCTCAAAATTTTCAAAGTATCAAACTGTCAACTCAGGGTTATAATTCCAATCAAGTTATTAACATGTAATATTCAAAGTATCATTTGCCATTATAAACCCAGGGTCATGAAATTCACAATTTTGGTAAAGCACCTTAAGACCCTTCCATCTATGAAGAGTGTTTGATTCTACAATATCTAGGTCTTGAGAAGAAGATTTTTTAAATTTCGACCTTTTTTGGCCCCACCCATCAGCCCCGGGAGGTCAGTCAGGGATATAAGTGCATACTATCAAACTGCTACCTATTACTGATAATGCTAACCTAAATTGAATTATTTCCAATGGAAATAACACAACCTTCCAAAAAACAACAATTTTCTTATATCTATATAACTTTCTATGGATGTCCATCCAATCAATCCATAGCACATATCAGTACGTGTTCTGTTGCTAAAACCTTGAATTGATTTTAAAATAAATCTTTGCGCTCTTTCCAACAAAAGTAACTCTTTCTTTGATAAAATCCATAGTTCACAACCATATAGTGCTGACGTATATACAACTTGTTTGATAAGTTTTCCGGCAGTAACTGGATTTAACGCACAAGGATGTGCACCACTCTTAATTAAACTCATTGTACCACTTTTTAATTTGCTACAAGGTCGCATTGTACGTTCATATGTTTGAAATTTATTATTTAAACAAATGTTGGTCCAAAATGTGATTTCCCTATATAAACTATAGTAAAGTTTAACCCCTCCCAAGGGGGAAACGTGAGACCCCAGGGTCAAGAAATTCACAATTTTGGTAAAGCATCTTAAGACCGTTCTATCTATGAAGAGTATTTGATTCTACCATATCTGGGTCTTGAGAAGAAGATTTTTGAAATTTTAGTCAATTCGACCCTTTTTGGCCCGCCCCTCAGGCCCCTGGGGGCTGGGGACCAAATCGGCCACTATTTTTGTTAACCTTTGGCCATGGAAGGTTTCTACAAAATTTCATTGAAATTGATTCAGGGGTTTTGGAGAAGAAGTCGAAAATGTAAATTGTTTACGGACGCACGACGGACGACGAAGGACAAAAGGCGATCGCAATAGGTCACTTGAGACTTTGTATCAGGTTACCTAAAAATAAAGGAGAAACTTGAGACACGGACAATTATAGAGCTATAACACTAGTGTCACGTTTTTGGAAAGTGTTTACTCATATTATCAATAATAGATCAACTAAATAAGCTGATGAAATTAACCTAATTTCTCCTAATTCTCGGGCAGGGTTTAGCAAAGGTTACTCGACGACTGAAAAATATTTTTATATTACACTCATTAATAAATACATATTTTAGCTGAAGGGGAATGACTGTAGTGTACATTCATTGATTTTTCGAAAAGCGTTCGACACGGTTTGGCAAACGGGAAAAAGGCAAAGGTGTTAAAAAGTAACATAAATGGAAAAGTGGTTAAGGTTTTAGAAAGCTAATATTATAATACCAAGTCATGTGTTAAAAACGGAAATGAAATTTTGGAATTTTTCGTTTGCAATGTCGGATTAAAACGGGGGTTTATCTCGATTTTTGTTTCCCCTATAACTGAATGACTTTGCATGATGATTTGTTATGATGTTGATATAGACTCTCTCAAATCAACACTGTAATATATATCAAACTACTTGTAATATGGTATGAGGATGATACTGTGATGTGTTTCAAAACTATTGTAGGAGTTGGAAGTAAACTCTTAATGTACAAAACAAAAATTCGTTATCTTCATCACGTGATAACTGTTATCGCACGCAAAAGAACAGCCTTTATATAATTATATTATCTAGAGCACCTTGCTTATCAAAGGCGTATGGACACTGAGGTAGACACGAACAAGGCTTTCATTACGTTTTACTTGGTAGAATAGATATAATCAACATATATTTGTATAAATAACCAACTCAGGCAACGAGCGGCTTTCGTTAATTATTTTCCCATTTTTTTCCTCACCTATGTTATATGTTCCTCCATTAAGAAGTCCAACTCCAACTAGAAATATTGCATATTTAGATACTGATTACCGTGTGAAACAACACTCAACCATGCTCTTAACCATTTACATCAGATGTGCCCCATCTATATTTCCAAAGGGATTTGTTAAAGTTCTGTTCCCATTGCACACGATCTGGCCAATTCATATTTTGTTTGTACAAAAATCAAAGGCGTTTAATTCTTCGCGTTTTATCATCTTTATGGCATAAAGGACTGGGATTCTTCTCTTAATTGCATGAAGAGTATTAAGAATGGAAAAACTTAAAACTTGATGTAAGAAGTCACTTGACAGTGGTTTTATACTTTAATAGCATTTTGTTTTTTTTTCTGTTTAGATAGTTTTTCATTGTGCCCTTTTTTTGCAATTCCTTTAAATACTTTCTGTCTATCTAGTGAAACAAACATAAGGAATCATTTGTAAACCTATTTTGCATTTAGTCCAGTGCTACATCTGTATCAATCCTCATAATTATGCTTTCGTCCATTTTGGAAATTTGTGCATCAATCACCCGGTCACATTATACTGACAACGGATGAACCAGTTGTTACCTATTCCCGGTCACATTATACTGACAACGGATGAACCAGTTGTTACCTATTCCCTCAATGCTGAACGTTAAGCAGGAAATACCAACTACCGTTACTTGAACTGTAATCAAAGGTTCCAAATATCAACATATAAAAAGATGATCAATTGTTTTTGTCATTATCCTTATGTTTCGGATAACACACATAACCATGCCAAAGTTGCATGTCTTCCTGTTATACGAGATCTTTTTGATATTTTTTTAGCTTCATATTAACAGTTAAAGTCATTTAAGGACGTTTTTTATGTGAAATGTATGCGTGCTTGTTTCTTTGGGTGCTAGAAGAAGGGTATCTTGATGTATTTGTCTCCTTGTGATCTGATCTGATGCCGATTCTGAAGTGCTATCTCATTGAAATACCATGCCGAAAGCACCCAGCAAAGTATTTCGCCCGGTCACATTATACTGACAACGAGTGAACCAGTTGTTGCCATATTACCCTAAATGTTGGACGTTAAGCAGGAATATAAATTACCACTTTTAAGTACTTTTGTTTGTCCCGGCCTGGGAACAGAACCCATTGCCTTCCTCACCCATGCGACGTTCAAAATTAAGACCGTAGGTGAGGTGTTGCCAAACAAGGCGCTAGGAAACTAATAGATCTAGTGATTTTTGATACAAAGTGGATTGGCTGGTTGTACAGGCCTAAGTTGCACATCCTATATGTACCAACAGCTAAAGACCATAGCTACACGCTTAATTGCACATTCTTAAATAACCTTAGGTCAGGTAATGATGTGCCACTATGCGTTGTGTATGCTGCATGTGTACTGGAGGCAAGGTGTTTTGATAAATATTTATTTTTTATCTCACCTAAATACCATGCCGAAGACACCCAGCTTAGCATTCCGCCCGGTCACATATTGTCATGCTGAACGTGAAGCATTGAATAGCAACTACCGTTTTCAAAGGACATTTTCATGCCCCGGTATGGGGCAACCCATTGCCTTCCTCACCTGGTCAAACGTTCAAGATTAAAGCCAAAGGTGAGGTATCGCCAAGCAAGGCACTAGAAAACAAAAGGTAGATGATGGAAGTGGAGAGAAACATAAAGATCCCAAAATCAATTTTGTTTTGATCGCTTTTATGTCCCCAAGTAGAAGGTACACATGCAAATACCCCAAATCAGGGCACATATCAAGATTGCAGCAAAGAAGCCGACTTATATACTGGACAAAATAAGTCAAACTTTAAAATAAATGGATACAAACCGATTGAGGACATGAATGGACACCTTATGCCATTATCTTGAGAACGTATTCCCAGCAGAGTCAGTAAACACACATAAAGTTAGTGCAACCCTTGAACAGATACACCGGCTTGCTACCAAGCTAGATTAATAGAATCCATCCCTGATGTGAGGTATAGATAAGGTTATTCAAACCCAAGGGATAAAATATTGAGCTGGAGACCCGAGGCTTTGTCGAGGGTCTTTTGCTCAATATTTTGTCCCGAGGGTTTGAATAACCTTATCCTTACCTCATATCAGGGATGGATTCTATTTTTTGCTTATTACATAAAACCCGTAAAAACAGCTGCTCTTCTAGTAAAGTTGTAAACTGTCCGCACAATTCTCATTTTCATATAAAGCCCGGATGGGAATTGTTAGTGACGTAAATGACCCTGACTGACCCCAAAACGTCATAAAATGACGTCGCGAACAATAGCGTAGCCCCGAAAGGTCACTATAATCCCCCTGCTAGTCTGCGCGTGTAAGCGATCTAGACCCGTGGGCCGGATAGAATTTTCCAGCACCGCCGGAAATGCGGATATCTTGCGGTCTAGCATGCAAGAAAAAATACTAAATCGACAAGTTTTAATTAAACTGGGACCGTAACAGATGTCAATCAGTGAAATTTCACGAGCTTTGGATGCAAAATGTTAGATGAGCTAGTTTTCTGGAGGAAATTTAATGCATAATGTATTCGTTCGTAATTTGTATTTCTATGGCATACATAATCATGTTGACTCGAATGTTTTAGATATGAACCACTCACTCATCGTTAGTGTTCTATGTTTAATATACATATAAATAATGAAAAAATCCACTTTTATTTTGGGAAATCCATTTTTTTCCTGAGTATTTCCAAACCGATTTACTTCCCGATCATCTAAGATATCAGAAAACTTGAAAAAAATGCTCCTTTTTGCTATAATGAGCTATAAATACAGTTAGGGCTCATATTTACTTCCGTGTTGTTTACAAGTGGTAAGGCAGTCGCAGTGTTATGCTGTGGAGTGTTGATATACACTTTAGCCGGAGAAGTTGTCACCGATCAACTGTAGCGGACTCGGATAGTCAAATTTAACTACAGGTAAGTGTTCAAATACTTTTTTTTTTATTTCTGTACCTGCATCGCGATTAATTATGGTGGGATTTTGTTTAAAACGTGTCTCCTTGTGTGTTGTGTACATCTGCGCGGATCTGATGCCGACTTTATAGTGCTATCTCACTGATATACTATGCCGAAGGCACCAAACAAAACATTCTGCCCGGTCACATTATATTTGTATTAATACTAAATTTTATACTGTTTTGTTGAAATAATAGTTTTACATTTCTCTTCATCTTTTAATAAATATTTAGTATGCTAATGAAATTTTGGGAAGGATTTACAGCCTGAAACATGGATTTATCTTCAAATCGAGTTTTTGAGAAGGATTTTAATGTTGAAGTCTAACTTTATCTTTAAACAAATAGAAATGCTTATATTAAGACCTTTTGGAAGCTAGTGTAAATAATAAGAATATTATCACGGATCTTTATCTAAAAACTGTCTTAATTACGTTTTTTGATTTTACACTTATATCCATTAACTCAAAGCGGGCCGTGGCGGCAAAGTGGCTAAGGCGTCTGACATTCTGCTACCACTAGCCCTCCAGCACTGGGTTGTGGTGGGAAAGTGGTTAAGGCGTCTGACATTCTGCTATCACTAGCCCTCCACCACTGGGTCGTGGTGGCCAAGTGGTTAAGGCGTCTGACATTCTTCTATCACTAGCCCTCCACACCTGGGTCGTGGTGGCAAAGTGGTTAAGGCGTCTGACATTCTGCTATCACTAGCCCTCCACCACTGGTTTGGTTTGGTTTTATCAAGTTGTACGTCCTATTAACAGCTAAGGTAATTTAAGAACGTGCAATCATGTGTGTTGTGTATACGTGCATGTGTTTATGTGTGCTGGATAAAGTGTATGATGGGTTGCGGGTTCGAGGCCTTAAATGATCATAGATATTAATATGATTGACGTAAAACACAAACAAACCAAACCAAATCCTTTAACTCTAACGGTTAGTCATAAGTGATTAAAAGTGTTTTAAATATTTGTAATACTGGGACATTAGTTCAGAAAGAGAAAGATATGCGTGCCTATCTGATGAAAACAGGCAGCTATTATGTATGTTCAATAGAAGATTGAAGTTCATGACGTACCTATCATTTAATATGCGTGCCTATCTGATGAAAACAGGCAGCTATTATGTACGTTCAATAGAAGATTGAAGTTCATGACGTACCTATCATTTAATATGCGTGCCTATCTGATGAAAACAGGTAGCTATTATGTATGTCCAATAGAAGATTGAATTTCTTGACGAACCTATCATTTATATTCTATAAAAGATCGAATGTTATGATGTACACCTTCGTGTAATGATAAAAGCGAAAATTGAATAGTGTAATGCGATCTTTACAGACTGTGTCGATCGTTTTCGAGTTTGTCCATATTTCATAAATTTATATTTTTGTATACCTATCTTTGAAAGGGATTTCATAGTGTCTTCCTGTTTTTGTATGACCTTCAGAAGATTGAATTTCATGACACAATACCTTCTTTTGTAATGAAAAACATGATTTGCATCAACGGCCATGCTACAGTTTACAAAAGCTTTACGGAGTGTATCAAGCCATTTTATTCGAGTTTGGACATATTTAATTTATATTTTTGCATCCTTTCTCTTGGAGGGGATTTCATAGTGTCTTTATAATGAGAAGTACCTGCTAAGTATGTCCTATAGAATCTAGAATAAAACGATGCAAAATCTTCTTCTGAAATGAAAAAACAATCATGATTTGCGACCATTCTTCATTTTACAAATATTTTTTCGAATTTATTTAGTTCGCTCACCTGTCGTCCGTCCGTCATCAACTTTGTACTTCTGTATAACCCATATGCTAGATAGGGTGATACTATTTTGGCAGTAGCATGCTAGGATGTAGAGCAGCCAAGTTCGTTCAAATGAATGGCATTGGCCCACATTCAAGGTCACAGGGGTCAAATATGTCTAAAACATGAACCACTTCTTCTGAATAACTAGCATGGTTAGGGTGATGGTATTTGATCAGTAGCATGCAGGGGTGAAGGGCACCAAATTTGTTCAAATGATTGACCTTCATCCATATTCAAGGTCATAGGGGTCAATTGTCTTAACAACACTTTTAAACAACTTCTTCTGAAAAAAAATCTTCAGAAAAAAACACTCATTCTTTTGCAACATTCTGATGTATGGGATTATCATGTAGCGGATAAAGCTTGTACGCTGAATATTAAAATCTTCATTTTATAAATTTTATAATTAGAATGGCTGAATGAAACATTTAAAATTTACAATTTTGTAAAAGAATTTTGTTCAAGTGATGTTATCTGTAACTGGAAATTCTAACGTTAAAGTTGTTTTGCGTTTTAGATCCTCTCCAATGGATTCCTTCTGTGGTAAGCTGTTGACGTCTTTATTGATACTTCCCTTCACGGCTGGTAATTACCGAAGACGGCTGAAGGGATCCTGGTATTATGACTGTATGATCTCGTCCCGTGTTCTGTTCCTGATTGTCCTTGCAATAATGATAGTGTTTACCGCAAGTAAAAATGTACAAACACATACGGAAATTCGTCTTGGATTTGTCCTGATTCTTCTGTCCTTACTTATGATCTTCGCAGTGATTGGCTTCTCTATTCTAGGATGCTTGGTACATAAACATGGCTACCAATATATTGTTGCTGCAAGACGAAATGCAAGTACCCCGAAACTTCAGGTATTATTCCTGTGGATGTTTGGCTTGGGATCGGTATTCTATTGTGCTTTCTTTGTGGGCAAGCAAATCGAGTGTTCAGAAAACACAACCAGTGGGTATCTTTGGTACATTTTACTTTATTTTAATGTTATATTGATCTTGTGTCTTATCTCACAAATGGTTGCCTTAACGTACTTTTCACCATACGAACTGACACAGACTCATTTAGTTGATTTTACAATGTCTATGCTGTTAGTTGCAAATGTATGCATGTACGTGTATGGGACACTAATGGGTGATACATCATTGTATATCATTTATATCTATCCGGACTCTGATTTAGCCAACTGTTTGGAACAAAACAGCACAATATCTCTTCTACTAGAAAAAGCAAAGCCAATTCTCAAACCAAACTTTACGGAGTTTTGTCTTATGTCATGCACGATACTCCTGGAAATATGGTCGCCTACGAGAGTGCAGGTTCCTAACGAGGAAACGCCGTACGTGGCAATAAGTGATATACAGGACTCGGAGCGGTCACCTCTTCTACCGAACGTCACAGAGATTGAACATCGTCCATTTAGAAATAGAGGCAGACGAACAGCATGTCAGATGATAACACTGGTTTTCAGCATACCAACAGGACTTGGTTTTATTGTTTGTTATATTGTCATGGCAATGGGCTTAGGAAACATGGAAAATATGCGATACGTCTCTGAAATATATGAACAAGCTGTTAAAGTCATCGCAGTGCTTGCAATCTTTATTGGGTTCTTTTGCCTGGTTCAATACTGTACTCCTGACAGTTCATCGAAAGGTTTGAAATCCCGGGAATATGTGTATTTACTGTCAGCGTTTGGATTATTTATGAGCCATATCAGTAAGGGGATAGGTGGTGATGTGTCTTCCGAGAGATATTCATATTTGCTTTTAATCACCAGTGTCATAGGCATATTCGAAGACTATCTTCAAGTGGTGTTTCTACTGTACGCAAACCGATGCAAGAAATCTGACCCTCAATCAAACATCGATTTACTTGAATCAGTTCTGATAATTCTCATGATAAGCAACTTTATATTCTGGTTAAACGATACTTTTCTTTTATCTGAATTTCCAATTACACGGATACTGGAACATGACGACATTCCTCCGGAAACTTTGAGTATTGTGTATAACGTTTTGCTACCCATGTCCGTCTTTTTTAGATTTTTTTCTTTCTTGGAATACTATGCAACCTTCGGAAAATTTAACGCTTAGTTTGAGTGGAAAGCGATAGAAAAAATCCTGTTTCCAGTTACAAGTTGTATCATTTTGTACTAAGACGTTTATAATAGAACTATACCGTTCATATTGCATTAATATGATCATTAAGCTAAGATGGCCAATATCATCTTTTTATTTCAAATTTATTTTTGAATACAGAAAAAAACATTTTATGTGTAATTCACAATATATTGTTCGCGTCAACAAAAAGCAGCAATTCGGTACCCTAGACGCTACAAACTATAGTAAAGAGTAATTAATAAATGTTTATCATAAATTAAATATTTTTATCAACACCTATTATATTACATGAAAGATTGATATTTTAAATCTATGAGTAATGCATATTTTTACAGTCAATCCCTGTATCAGGGAAAAATATTCATTAGTTCTTTTTATAGTCTTACTTGTTAACCGTAGTACACAGTTCTGTGTTTCAGGTATGTTTCGCGATTATTTGTTTTTTTTGCTTCTTTCATAATATAGCAAACAACACAACCGAGCTTTAAATCACATAAAGATTAAAATCACGCAATTACTTGATTTTTTTTAGGCGAGAGATTCAGTTACGGCAATTTAAACGCGGGATATATTCATTTAAACAAATTATCGAAAATTTGCATTACACTTAACTCACCGGGCATACGGTTTCAAGTACTTCTATTTGTTCAATCTGCAAAATGAAGCTAACGACATATTTTATCCATTACGGTATGTAAACAGTAAACTGTATTACTGAAGAAAGTTGTGTACATATTTTCAAAATCAATTACTCGTAACTGATATTTTCTCTCTCAATATTAACGATATACTGAGGTGACTATATTATTATGTACTAAATAAACACTCTACTGCTCAACATATATTGTTTGTTTATTTTTCCTTTAAGGACAATATTTACCGTTTTGAAAAAACATTGCCCAAAAGCCTGACATATTTATCTAGAATCCTTTTAGAACAAACAAACACAATTGAGGACATTTAAAATAACATATATGTATGCGTGAGAAATATTTACGATTTTTGTTATATTTTCCGTTCCTTCGTTCGTGTTTTGACCAACCATGCTATTTGATTCTAATTTCTAACAGCTTAAATACAAAATACTGTATAGCAGCATATTTCCACGAGGAAAATAACACTTGTTCACGAAGTTATGATCCCCATAATAATTTGACAGGCGTAGAAATAAGCAGCGCGAGAAAAACTTCATATCCATGTTGTCGTCATGAAATAGCAATAATAAGGTTGTAAGATTCATGACTCGAGAGTAATAAAAGATGTTTGCAAATAGATTATATCATATGATTTGTTTTGCAAAATACACTTTCTTGTTGCTTAATATGCTGTAATAAAGCGTATTTATTTGAGTATTTTACATTTTATATGCTGAGTGTTCCATCTCTGAACATTTGGACCCTTCACCTCTAGATTGCGAAATTGTAATCAGTGTAAATTTAATTATCTGATTTTGGGTTAAAATAGCGAGAATTTAAGCCCGCGTAAATAACCCGTTATACAGTAAGCACATTAAGTTGTTTAGAAATGTCGCATGTTTGTTTGCTCCCTTTAAAAATGAGCATTTAAAAGAAAACAGTAATTTTGAAAATGACCGTTTGTGGTGATGGTCCCAGCACGCTGCCTTGTGGTATTCCACTTGTGACTCGGAAACATGTCCATTAACACTTACTTGTCGCATTTCTGCTAAAAAAATCCTTTATCCACGTTATTATTTCTACTGACAACCCATGTGCGTTTAGTTTGCTGATCAACCGCCTATGTGGAACAGTGTCGAACGCTTTCATAAAGTCCATATATACTACCTCCTTCATCAATGATTTTTGTCCAGTCGTCTACAGTTTTGAGTAGTTGAAGAACTGTTAATCTTCCCTTTACAAATCCAAATTGCTGAGTACTAAGAAGGTTGTTGTTTATAAGGCCTTCCATAATCCTTTCCCTCACAATTCTTTCCAATAGTTAGACTAACGGGTCTGTAATTTCCTGCATAACACTTGTCTCCTTTCTTGAAAATGGCAGTGATCCTCCCCTCTTTCCATACTGACAGTACATGGCCTGTACTTAATGATTGGTTGAATAATATTGGAAGTGGTTTATTTATTACAGTTTCTAGTTCCTTCAGTATTTTTGGATGAATGCTATCTGGACCTTGAGATTTGTTGGTGTTTAGACCTTTTATGAGTTTAGAAATTTCTTCCTCGTTGACCTCCTTGTTCAGAAATTGTTGATTTATATTTTTGATTGGTAGTTGTGGTATATCCCCTTCCGGTTCCTTTGTAAATACGCTGCTGAAGAAGTTGGCCAATACGTTAGCCTTTTAACCATCACTTTTGGCAGTGTGTACCACTTTGTCGTTTTCCTTTACGTGTAATTCGGATATTCCTGTCCTGGTTTTTGTTTTAAAATTAGCCTATTTCCAAAATTTCTTGTGGCTGGTTTTATCATCTTTAGCGATATTTTGTTCCAGTTGTTTTTTCGCTTTTCTAACCAAGTTCTTTACTTTGTACTGTACATCATTCGAAGACCCTGCTATTTGCAGATGACACCAAATTGTACAAGGATACCAGAGAGCAGGGAGATTTACAAAAGGACCTTGACAATCTGCAACAATGGTCGGACACGTGGCTACTAAAATTTCGCCCAGATATATGTAAAGCACTATATTTGGCAAAGGATAAAAATCAAAATGGTCTACACCTTTACAAGGATATGGACGGTATGAGGAGCACGGTAAAGCTGAAGGAGGAAGTTGAAGAGAAAGACCGAGGAACAATTATAGACAATAAGTTAAATTTCAAAAGCCATATACAAGCCGCAGTAAACAAAGCGAACAGAGTACTTGGAGCCATCAGAAGAACTTACATATTTCTGGACAACAAAACATTATGCGTGTTATACAAAGCTTCAACCTTTTGGAAAACGTTCAGCGGAGAGCTAACAAATTACTGCCAGGGCTGAAGGATATTTCAAAAAATATACGAGGAAATAATGCATAGACTTAAACTTCCATCATTAGTCCATAGAAGGAACAGGGGAGACATGATCGAAGTATTTAAAATATTGTCAGACATGTATGATATATCAGGATCAACGGGGCTTCTATTAATTAAACAAGACAAAAGAACTCGAGGGCATTCATTCTGCATGGACAAATCAAGAAGTAGATTAGACGTTCGTAAATACTCGTGTACTCAGCGTGTAGTCAGCAGCTGGAACTCCTTATCCGAGAACGTGGTCCAAGCACCGAATATTATAACATTTAAAAATCGCCTTGATAAATTTTGGGACACTGGCGACAGGATGTTTACAATAACACCCGAGGGATGTCATATACACTATATTACATGTGTATAGTTATTTCTTGAAGGACAGTGATCTGAATATAGAGGCAAATGTTTATGCCTGCGTTCAGAATAATCTAAGTAATCTAAGTTTAAAAAAACAAAAACATGTTAAGATATAAGAGTGTGTATATATATAGATGATATCGCTGCAATTGTACACTGATATTGAATTGATGACATTTAAAAACACACACACACTAATTGAGTGATATAAAATTAGCTGTCTTCGTGATTATTGGACGAGTAGTAACCAATATATTTACATCGTGTTTGAATGAATTGCTACATTTCCTTTACATAATGATATCATCAAAATTATGAAATAACCACATGGAAAAACCACTCGTGAATATGTAGGTCAAAGCACTTGAGCCCATGACTGTTCGCTCTTTATGTATACTCAGTTGTGCTCTGTATCTGAATTCCCTTCGTTATTATTACAGATTTTGTTTGTTTGATTTTGTTTAACGTCCTATTAACAGCTAAGATCACTTAAGGACGGCCTCCTCTGTGTGCAAGATGCATGCGTGTAGTGTATGTATTTTGGGAGGCTGCGATATGTTCGTGTTCGTCTCCTTATGGTAGCGCGGAACTGATGCCAAATTTATAGTGCTACCTCACTGAAACATACTGCCGAAGACACCCAGCAGGACGCCCCACCCGGTCACATTATACTGACAACGGGCGAACCAGTCGTCCCACTACTAATTTGCTGAGCGTTAAGCAGGAGTATAAACTACCGTTTTTAAAGACTTTGATATGTCTCGGCCAGGGGACAGAACCCAAAGCCTTATTATTACAGATAAAATCTACTTTTATGTGTTATTCCTTATGAGAACTGTTGCTTTGTTATCTAAGAATTGTAGCTCATCACAACAACAAATGTCACTTCAGAGACGAATGAAAGAAACAATATCGTTTTGGTTTGGTTTGGTTTTATTATGTTTAACGTCATATCAACATCTAAGGTCATTTTAGGGACGTGTGTAATGTGTGCTGGAGACAACGTATGCTGATGTGTTCGAGTTTTGCACTGCCAACGGGTAAACCAGTTGTTGCGATAACCCTTAATGCTGAACGTTGAGCAGGGAACAACAACTACCATTTAAAGGGCTTTGGCATGTCCTGGTCTTGGGACAGAACCCAATGCTTATCCCACTTGAGCGAAACAAAAAGGTTACAAGGAAGCAGAGAAAAAATTTGAATACACGAAATGCTGCAATGGGGGTAACAGATACATTGTGGTTTACTCAAAGTAACATTAGCAGAAGTCACAGAAGAAACATGGATTCTGCAGGCCCCTACATCAGTTGCTTTTTACGACACATATTCAGCGGGATACGGCAGGCCAATTTTTTCCCAAACCCGCGTAGTATTTCAGTCAGATAACACTACAAAGTTGGGATCAGATCCGCGCTATTACAAGAAGACAAGTACATCAACATACACATACACACTTGCACGCTTACACAACACACATGGGGACGCGTCCTTAAATTACTTTAGCTGTTAATAGGACGTTTAACAAAATGAAAAAATACATAAATATATAAGTGAGATTGCAGCCATATTGTGCGAATAATGCGCCATATAACGATCACTATAACAACGTTGTGCCATCAAATTTATTAGAAGGACTAATCCCATTGTCACTCAAACTCCAAACAACAAATAACAACCAAACTGTAATCAAATGCAAAAGGATCTATTTTGAGAGTGTTACATTGTAAACAAACAAAAGTGTTATACAATATATTACAGGCTCTCTTAACAGCGACACCGAGAAAACGGATGCAGGCGCAATACAAAACACTACAATTTGGGCCGACTTGATACTATCAAATGCCATTCAACAGGACAAAAGGAAAGAGATCGGGGCTCAGACTGGGCAAGGGACGTTAATTGCCTTCCTTCGTAATTAGGGTTTCTGTGTCGTGCCAAACAATGTTGAACCGAATGTTTGACAAAGTGCAGTTAGGTAATACATGCCTTAAATATATATAGTATATGAGTGTTCTTCCTTTTATTCCCTAGAAATTCCGCCCCTTGGCACCATATTATATATGTTATGAATTATTTAGGATATCAGAGACAGGGTTTATCTTGCAATGCAGAGCGATATATACCATTCGTGTCTAGTTACTTCCGCGTTGTTGAAAAGTTAACAAAAACAGTCCTATTATTCGTTTCCCTTTATTCTCAATTAAAAATCGGCAATTGAAATACCGGATATGTTGTTAATTCCTTAGGATATAAGATCACAGACTTTTTGCACTACAGAGATATCTATAAATACAATTCATGTGTAATTGAAAGGTTATCAAATAGTCGTAATGTTATGCTGGTTGTTTAAATGTTAACATTATCAGTTACCTGTGTAATAACCAATTAATTAGTTCGTGACTCTGTGAAAAACCTTCAGACACTTAAAACAGAAAATATCTTTACAATTCTAACCTACATAGAAACTGTTGGTTGTGCTATTGGTTTG